AACTATAAATTCAGTTTCCCTATCTGTACAGTTTGCCATTGTCAGTACACATAAACCCACCACAATTTCACCAGACTGTTGTATTTCATATGCATGTTAAGTATAGTCATCTTGCTGTCATTTGCTGCYGCTCGCTGTGTTTGAAGCACTCCACACTCTGCTGATGATAAATAACCTGCATCGTTCAGCTTTGCTCCCTAGGGTGCTTGCCCTGCCAGTGGAATGACTCAACTCGGTACCATAACTAGATGAACACACGATTTCACAATAAAATAATCAGACACTTTTTTCTTTAAAGGGCAAATTTATGCAGCCAACTTGGGGAAAAAAAAAAGGCAAAGCAGAGCCTAAAATTCTTTTTATTTACAGTGGGAAATGAAGCTTGACTAAGATGATTAGAACTGTAATTAAACAAGAGAATCAAATCCACAGATATGCRCGACAGAAACAAAGAGGATCTGGGAGAGGCAGCATCTAACAATGGTAAAGTACTTGGGCCATGGCAGAGCACTAGAGACATCCCTCCTTAATTTGATCTCCGCAAGAAGCCATCTCAAAAAGCCTTTCTTTCTTTCTTTTGCTTTTGGACAAAAGCTGGGCCTCAGGACAAGGTCTGTCTAATCTTCCCTGTAAGAAAGGGCACCAAAGGGTACTGCATCTCTAAGCCAGACCGAAACTTGAGCTTCATTACAAACGCGCCAAACAATTTTCTGAGTGTGGCAGGGCAGACCCCCTGAGGAYAGTCAGGCTGCTGCCAAATAAAGCCTGCATTTGGCTCCAGGCCTCTGCTATATCCCCTTCTGCTGCTTGCCAAGCACCGTCTCAGTTCTCTGTCAACCTCCTAATATCACTGCATTTCAGCWCTATCACTGTTCTCTGCTGTGGTGTATGGTTCTTGGCATGCTCTCAGTACCTTCCTACACCCACATCCGAATGCACTTTGATACGTTTCAGTGGCTTGCCGAGAGGCAGATAATCCACCCTTTGTCACAATGGATTGAAGCTTGTCTTGAAAAGGAACAACTCCATTTCAGCAAAGAAAAATAAAGTTGGGAATAAACTTGCCACTGCTAACAAGCTTGGCTGGGTCAGAGCTTTGCATACTGGACTAAAGAGTTTAAGACCCTAAAATGCATTAGTATTAGCAGAGAATATTCTCTTCAGTCTGCCTGCCATACTTGCTTGGAGGCACGCAATCTCTTGCATTTGGTGAGATCATCCATTATACCAGAGGAAAAGGATATCAGACCCCTAGAAAGTTTGGGGTTTGGATCTAGGTCATCATGATTCCTTTTCTTTCATGGTGTAAGAAGCCTCAGTGCTTCTTTGTCCTGTTCCCAGACGTAGCAAAAGACRGAGAGACAAGTTCAGCTCGCAGCTAATCCAGTGCAATGCCAAGGGGAAGACTAATCCAGCTGTGAGCTGAATGGGCAGCAGAAGCTCTTAAACAGAAGTCAGAAAGAGATGCATCCTGCAAAACGTTATTTGCAGAGATTTGTTTGAAATGGCAAACACATCTGCTTTGGCCTTGCCAAAAATGTCCCATTCCATGGTGCTTCTTGTGAGTGAGGGCTCAGTAACCGGCCCTTTGCAGAGGCCAGGTTTAGATCCGCTTTCCCAAGTTCTTGAAGGAAGTGGATTCTATATGAGCATRTCTGGTGATGTTCAAGGAGAATGTCTCTATTCAGAGAACAGAAACAGTGCCACTTAATGATAAAACCATTCAAAAACAAGCAGTGCAGCACAAATTGCAAGGCAACAAACATCAAGAATCTTAAAGAGTAATTAAAAAAAGGTTTCTCAAAAAAWAAAAAGTCGACTCATAGCTGTTCACTGCAAATGAGAAGAAGCTTCACTGTTACTTGTTATGAAATTATTCAGCTCACTTTCAAGGGCAATAAACCAGAACAAAATACATGTTCATCAGTTAGCTTCCTAAACTCTGCTGGAAGCGAGCATAAGTGTCAGGACTTTTCATCAGAGTTGTTATGATGACGTGTTTTTCCTTTCCATTAAAAACATCTACCCACAGCAACTGCGAAAGAAACAAAACAAAACAGAAACAACAGAAATGCCACCGCTTGATTCCACGTTTCCCTGTCTCATATATCCTTAGTGATTTTCCATCTCTGTGAGTTAGGCTTTAATTAGCTAAAAATTGTCTGACTCTAAGTGGGTTGTAGGTGCTGCCCGACCACAGCACGGCAGGCAGATTATCAATTTGAAGCACAGCAACCTGACTGGAATCTAAAAATAGGAGGGACACCTGAGCTGCTCCACTTGATTGTGCTGAACTGAACGGAGGAGGACGGTGCCTGTTTGTATCTGCCATCTCTCAGCAGTGTAAAACCCTTTGCAGGAGACATCAGGCCCTAGATTGGATTCTTAGCTTACTTTAGCAGGAAAGGCAGCACCATGTTGTTCTAGTCCTATGACCACTTGGGTAGTAGTAAGAGGAGAACTGACTTTCCAAAGCTTCAGAGGAAACCCACTGGTTGCACAGTATTAGGTCTCAGTGGATCCTGTAATAATAATGGTGTAACTTATCAGTAAGGGCCCTGACACCTCTTAAACCTTATCATATCTATATTCATTTTAAAATCTTCTAGTGAAAGATCCTTTAGAATAAGGACGGATGCAAAGGTTAAACTCRAATCTGTAGGAGTCTGTACCCAGTTCTGCTTTCATGTGTCTCAGCAGCTTCATACAACTTGAACTAAGCTATATTTAAAATTTTCTCTTTTGGGAAGCTACTTCAGAATCTATTTATGACAGACAAAATCCTAAAATATGAGCAAAATCCTTGCTGCTGTGCTCCCTAAGGCTCTGAAGTCTCCTGAAAAGACAGCTATTTCTTGAGTGGCATTAAAGAGAGAAAAACAACTCCGAAGGCCAAATTCGTCCCTGGTATAATTCATCTGAACTTTACATCAGTGGAGCAGCGGTGAACTTGGCCCCAGCACGTACAGAGCATGTCACATCGCTGCTGGAGATCCAATTCAGTGCAAGCCACACAGCTCTGGAAGAGTGGTGTTTCAGCAATGAAATTTCAGGAATTTGTATAATTTTATTGCCAGTCAGACAGAATAAATTATCAGGGGATAACTTGTAGCCTAAATCTGCTGAGATCCTCACTTAGAGCTGGATACCAGGTGTTTCCAGGGAAGCTTATGAGATCCAATTTTGGTGGCCTTGTACAGGACACCTCATTGCTCCGAGTTTTCCCTTCTATCATATGGAGTTTTAACACACTGAGTGACCTTCACAGTCTGACGGGGGAGGTTCAAAAGCTTAATAAAAACACCYAATGAGGCTATTCTTGTAATGGGTGCAGGGCTAGATGTTTTAGATGTGCCTACAGAGTCCACTGGCACCAGGGCAACATTATGGTGTTCTGTGGCCCTCTGCTTGGACCAGTACACATTTAAATCATCTCACCTGGATATCGTGCTACTGTGAGCCATATGGATGTACTCACAATGATTATTACAATAGCAAGGAGCCATCCAGAACACATTGTGCTCCGTGATGACRCCGGGGCCCTTCAAGGGAACATGTTGTGTCAGAATGACGTGTGCTTGTTGTGCCACTTCAACACAGCAGCTCTGCTGGAAGCAAGTTACTCATGACTCTACYTCATATTTTAAACATACTTTCCTAGTACCTGGAAAATCAAGCTGTTCTTTCAGAATTCTGCCTCCAGTTTACCTCAGCAGTCATGTTATTTATTAGGGAGTGAATGCACTGAGGCAGCTAATGCAGAAGATGTTGATTTTTTAAACACTCTGCCTGGCTAAAGCTCAGATTAATCACATGAAATGCAGCTCAGCCTCGCCTCAGCACAGACTGATCAAATTGCCTTTTCTTATTGCTGTACCTGAAAAGAAGAAGAGAGCAGAGCAACACCAAATGAAAGCCGGAGAGCAGGTTAAATAGCCCGGCTTCTAAAACCTTATTAATTGCCAATTTGAATGGTTATAAGATGCATTTTTATGATTTTGCCCTGTTCCCCAAATATGCTCTCAATTCCTTGGCCTATATCATTTCCRTGGTCTAATTCTCTGTGTTAGTCGCTATCTTTTGATACTTACTAAGGAGAGCAATATTAAGTACAGAGAGTGGCGTATCCACCACTGTATTGGRGACTGCCAGAAAGGTGTCTGCTACTCCGCACCCTCATCTAAACCTGCTGGTTTCTGCCCTCATTGGTAATTTTTTGTCTTCTACATGTCAACTTGCTTTTGAAAGGCAGGGAGAAGGGTGTTTTCTTATAATTGCACATCATCTAGTACTGTGAGGTGCCTTTTGATGCTGTCTACCCATTTATTAGTATGGTTGCAAACCACCATCACCTGCCAGTAAACCTCACCACAGGAAAACTGATTTTGCATTAACGCACAGCACAAATGCCAAGCCCTCACCTACAACAACTGTTTGAAAATGAAGGACCTCCATAATCACCAAAGCAACTAAAATTATATCCTGGCTGAATTTGGCCTAGATATTTTGACAAAACTTCAGTGTGCTTCTCCCTTTCTCCCTTTTTTCCTACATTCCCACTGCTACTCAAAGACAGGGGCAACTAAAACAGTTGTTATTTCAACGTGTCTTCATTAGTAATCCCAGGAGTTTAACTGCAATGGTTAGAAAAGCAACACTATATTTTAGCGTCATGTCTGGATGAGCTTGCTTCATGAGCAGAGAAAATGGCAGTTACAAGGGTTCTTCGGGATGAAGCTGAGGCATCAAGGCARCACTACGCTTTAAATGGCGGGAGTGGAATATGAATACATATATATGTGTACATACTATATGTGTGTGTGTGTGTATATACGCACACTGAAACGCGCCCTGGCGCGCCCCCAAGATGGCGGCGCCGCGCGCGGCTCTCGCGACGCTTGCGGCGGGGCGGGCGCTGCCCGCGCAAATGGCGGCGCGGGGGCCGGGCCGTGGGCCCTAGGGGCGCGGGGGAGGCGGGCGCGGCAGCGGGCGCGGAGGCGGCCGCCATGGAGCACATCACCACGCCGAAGGTAGGAGCCTCGGGAGGATCCGCGCCCTGGGGTTTGGGCTCCCCCCTTCTCCGTCCCTCCGTGCCGGGGTCCCTGACAGGGGCTCCGCGGCCTCTTCAGCGCCGTGGCTGCTTCCCCCGGGCCTCAGCGCCGCCCGGTAGCGAACTAAATAATAAAACAGAATGCACACGATATATGTTGCAAGTGCTGTGATGTATATACCGCAGGTTGCACGTTTTGCGCTGCTGGGAGAGTGAGCAAATGTCCAGGGTGCTGCTTTACTAGCTCATTACTCTGGGCACACCTGCATGGTGTCAAGTAGATAATGAATATGTTTTATTTCCCTTATTTCCCTTTAAATCGCGTTGCAAATGTGACTTCTTCATTGTTACTATTGTTTTTAAGGCTTGTTTAGTTTCAGTAAATAAGCTATCCTCCAAGGAGGAGGTATTCCTGAGCATCGCTTGTGATTTTTGGAGAGGTTAAAATGTCTCAGTGGGGAGTTCCAAGGCTTCTTTCTGCCTCTGGGTGCAGCCAGAAATACTGCAGGAAAACTTAGTTTCCTTTGAGCCGCTCTCCGTCCAGCCACTTATCCTGGACACTACAGTGCCACCGGGATTGTCGGCTGCTTGGCTCCGGTTTTATTCCCGAGCGGTTGGATTTGGGGATGTGCCTTTATGATCCCCCAAGTGTGACTGAAGTTGCCTTTACCTGCTAGTTCTTACTGCCCTGCCCAAGGGCAATGTTGGATATAGCTGTCGTGTCGAAAAACATGAGTAACCAGAAAAACATGTGGGCCACGATCCAAACTCTTCAAGTTTCTGAGCTGAGTGGTTTTTTGAATTTTATTAATAATGAAAGAGAAATTCACACCGTGCTCCTTAAGAAGCAAATAGGCCAGACAAAAACAATCAATTTTAAATACCTGGAAATGAGTATTTTCATGTCTGTACTGATATTTCTTAAAACTTGTCTTTGTTAATTAACCTATTTGCAGTTTATGAAATGTGTTTAAGAATTGTGTTGTAACAGGTAGCTACCAATAAGTTTCTATGGGAGTTTTACAGAAATAACCTGCAAAAGGTTCCATCACTGAAAACTGGACAGTTTGRAAATTGGACTACAAAGTTGTTTCTTTGCAGCATTGCTTTGATTACATTAAATGGTGCCGTCTTTTCTTTCCTCTTTTTTGCTTTATTATTTATTTCTGCCATCTTGCCAAATACTAAGCTTTGATCCCCTTGACTATAAATTTAGTACTTGTTGTGCGTTCCAGTGTTAAACTTTGGCTCTTTGTTTAACCTTTTCAGTCTTAATAGCTGGAGAAGTAATATGAATATATAATGCAAGGCTGACTCAGGATTGCAGGGGCAATTATAGTTCTTATTTTCTCACTTTCTTCCCCTACCATGTCTGTGGTTCTGCTGGTCTTAGAGTGTTTTTTGATCAAAGTTATATTTAATTTTCACCCTTATCTTATATTGCAGGTTGAAAATGTRAAATTACTAGATCGCTATACAAATAGGAAGGCAGCAAACGGGACATTATACCTGACAGCTACTCATCTCATCTATGTTGATGCTTCTGCCGAAGTCAGAAAAGAAACATGGGTATGTTGTCTGGGGAGGACAAACAAAATGGGGAATTTGTCTGCGTTTCCTCCCAAACTCAACATGCTAAGCTGCCGTTCCTGGCTTTATAGTTTTAAAAATGTAAAAACCTGAAATTAGCACTTGGTTTTAATTGCAAAATAAAACGAGAATGACAGAGTATTTCCTTGGGGGTGAAGGAGTGGTGAAGTGATAAGAGTTCAACTCCTTTTATAACCTGTAATACCCAGTTGCATGRCCTCTAAAAGTAATTTATATAAGTCTGTGTTTTTTTAATGGTCTTTCTCGTAGTTATCTAGCCTATGGGTGCACAGGCTGGATGTTTATTATGTTTACTTGATAAATGTCACAAACTTATTTTCTGCTGCTAGTATTGAATTAGATGCAGTAGGCATAAACCGCTGATAGTACTGCACACTCTTCCTATCTGCTCATAATGCTTGTGGCCTTATCAGCGGCTTCTGAAAGATTTAGTTGACTTCCTGTTTTTCAGATCCTGCATCACCATATTGCAAGTGTAGAAAAATTGCCTCTGACCACAGCAGGATGCCCTCTGCTTATTCACTGCAAGAACTTCCACGTGGCACACTTCGTTATCGGGCATGAACGGGACTGTCACGAAGTGTATACCTCACTGCTTAAGCTTTCCCAACCAGGTATTTGGGAGGGAGTCCATTTGGCAGATTTTATTTTAAATGGCAGTAAACAGGGCGGCTCTTACGAGCAGCAGAGAGAGCTTTGCTCGTCAGGTATTGACTTTGCTGCAGCAACAAATCTTCATCTATTTCCACCACTGCGGCCGGTTTGTGTGGCTCAGCACAGTAAATGCAGTGCTGCCCTGCGGAACCAGGCAACCTGCTTCCAAAAAAACCACAGATGCTTCCTGGCAGTGGAAGTGAGGTCATCTGCCCTAGGGAACCGCAGCAGACCTGTGCAAAGATGCCTTGTCTGGTCATGGCTGTGCTGAATGTGATTCTGTACCTGGCTGGTTTTGGCCACCTCTGTGCTTAGCTGCTGGCCGTGTGAAGTTCTGGCCTTTCCAGTTGAGCCAGGTRTTCATAAAATTGTGGAATCCCATAAATAGAGCTGTAGACATGGCCATGTTTTGTTTTTCCTTGGTAATTCTTGTTTGGTGTCTGTCCTCTTTCAATTCTGAAACTCTCTGCTTCAGCCTGGCTGCCCTGACTTGGAATCAATCTTAAAGAGTGTGCAAGTTTTCTCAATGGTCCTTGGTCTTTCCTGGCCTCAGTTTTTTGCCTCTTGTGGATGATTCTTCAGGCTCTTTGTGCTTCCTTCAGAGCAAAGTTCCACTTCATTTCTTATGTTTTGTGACTGCTTCTGTTTCCTGGGATGTTCCTTGAGTGAACCTGTTTGGGATCCTGTGTTATTTTAAGGATGCTGTTTGTGACTGCTTTTTGTAATTTTAATTAGTCAATAGTCTAGTAGGAGGGGGATTGATAGCACCAGGCTGTTTAACGTTGGCCATTGTAGGATCTGAATCAGAGTTTTTCCTTAGAAGCATTTTCAGCAAGTGTCTTCAAACAGCTTGAATTTGGGAATTGTCCCTGTGTTTCCCTTATGTTCTGAGCTGCCAAGTTTTCCATGTTCTGAGGTTCCGATTCTAATACTGAACCTGGCAGGTTTCTGATGTCATGTTTAAAAGCTGTCACTGTTTCTTCCATTTTGAAAACTAAAGACTTAAAAAGCAGAGGAGCTGCCACTGCAAGAGGCTACGTTAGCCAGTTTCTTTTACAGTTTCTTTTACAGCCTGTTACTTATGTAACAGGCTGTAAATCCTTATTTTGTTCTGTTTGTGGGTTTTAAACGTTTGGTTTTATTGGTTTGAAACTTCTGCATGTCTGCTTTCTCTGTGGTTTTTGGCAGAGCACATAATTATTTTACGATTTGGACACGTATGATTGMCAGCTATGGGTTACCTGCCTGGTAACCTGGCTACTTTATCAGACTCTGGCAGGTCCCAGTCTCTCTCTGGAGACCTGGCTGCCTCGGGAATGTGCTGAATGACTTATTGTTTGGATTTCTCTTTTATGAAGAGAGGGAAGGAAATTGGGGAGGTAGAGATGGAGAGAGGAGGAAATAATCATTTGTCAGACACAGCCTGAAGCTTTTGTTGGGCTGACAGTAATATTCAGGACATCTATCAAGCTCTTCAGATGGCTCAGAGCACGCTATTGAAAGCTGGACTTAACAGGTGTGCAAGGGCTGGTTTATGAATGCTTCATAGAAAAAGTCTTTTAATACATGTTCACCTTTGTGGATTAATTCTTAAGATATTGGACTTGTCCAGTATGTATGTTGTGAAGAATTCAGTAGGAATTAATTTTGTTCCGAAAAAATACTATTTTAAAGTTTTAATTCTAATGAAATGCTTTAGTGTCTCTTCTCATCTGTGTGAGCTGGGCACTGGAAGTTCCTGAGGACTTAAATGAGTTCTTGGCATTTGGTATGACCCAGAATGAAAGTCTGCAAATATGAGGAACACTGAATTAAGGCCCAAATTGAGAAGCTTTATGTAAATTCATTTCATTTATAAGTGCTTTACTAAGCTAAGGATGAATAGGAATGTTTTTGAGTAATCCTTGGGAAAAGCAACCTGTTTCATGCTCTTCCCTATATTATTGAAGGACAGAGACTCAGTCCCTACATAGTTTGTGGAGGTTAGTAAAGTACCAAAGGTGATAAAAGAAGACTTAAACTTCAGGCCTCTGATCTCGAAGGCAGGAGCTTAAGTCAAATAGCTACTGTTAAAATATAGCCAAATATGCACTAGGGGGGCATAGCACTTTTATARTAAAAAGTTTACAAATCTGTTCATTTTTGATTTTTTTTTTTTTTCCCCACTACTTGTATCAGTTGTGATATATCTGTAGTACACTGGCTTGCATAGGGTGTATACCCAAAGAAATAGCCTTTTGGAAGAAGTGCTGACTTCTCATATTTTATTGTATTTATCTCTCACTCATCTTTTTTTTCTTGTCTTTTTTTCCCAGTGAAAGCTGAAGATCTTTATGCCTTCTCTTATAATCCTAAGATGTCTAAAGATAACAGGGAGATTGGATGGAAACTGATTGATTTAAAAGTAGATTACCAGCGTATGGGAATTCCAAATGACTACTGGGAAATAACGGATGTGAATAAAGACTATGAGGTAATTCCTGCCCAGAGTAGCCATTTGGTGSAGCATCTCTTCTTCAACATTAACGACATACAGAAATCCTCCTTCTGCTGCATAAGTGATGCCTCCAGGGAGGAAAGAGCTCAGCTGGTTTTAATCGAGGTAGCATCGTCCTTCTGTGAAGTTGCAGATAATGATGCTCTGAAAGAACAGGGCTGCAGAGTCACCTTGATTTGCTTGATCCCTCTGGCAAAGAACCAGATACTTAATTTATCTAGAGAAACGCCAAGCTATCATTTATAAGAAACAGAAGTACCTTTCKCTTCTTTAGGTGTTCTAAGCCCTGTCCCATCAAGATGGTGACACGTGAAGGAAAGAAATAAAGGACAGAAATTTTGCTTGATGGAGAACAAAAGCAGATGAAAAGGGACAGAGCAAGGTGGGGGAAGAGCCCAAGAACCAGAAATGCCTGACCTATTTTTTTTTTTTTTTGGCTTAGTTAGATCTTATGCCAAATAAGGGCTCCCAGACATTTAGTCATAGGTACCTTTTGCTCTTATTTCCTTTTCTCTCCACTTTAAGACAGGCCAGATATGTGGGTTAAAATAAGAACACTTTTCAGCAAGTTTGTTCAGACTCCTGCTTTATGTTATTTCCCCTTCTGTGCACAAACAGGTGTTTTTGTATAAAAGACGAAGTTGACAACTCTGCAAAAAGTGTCAGCTTGTTAAGACTGGAACCCCCTCCCCTTTCCCCCAGTATTCTCTATYTTATGCACTGAGTTGAAGAAACATGTGCGGTCAGAACTGACTGGTAATTTTAAGTGACTGTATCTTTGGATGCCTGAATTGAGTTAACATGAGAGGTACTTTAGCTGATTTGAGCATCTGAATGTGGGCATCCAGGATCATTAATCACTTTGAAGCTTTACTTGCTAGTACAGTATGTAACTCTCAATTGCTTTGTAATTTCCTCAGGGTTTCTAGCCTGCTTTTGAAATTGTTAAGCCTGAAGTAAAGCCAGACTCAAAAATAGCTTTTTTTCTGTGTAATATGTGCCAAAAAGACCATACTTGTCTGAGAAACAGGGACAATTCTGAGAATGTTGCCCGACTGGTGGAAGTTGAATAAGATTTAGTTGGAACCCTTTTTAATATATTTGTTCTTAATTTCTTTTTTTTGTGACAAATCAAACTCATACAAATTAATTGGATTTCAAGAACATCCTTTTAAAATGTATTGTGTTCTATCCTGTCTATCTTTTCAGGTCCAATTGCAAAATCAAATCCCCATTCCTGTGCTTTTTTCTAAATACCTATTAATTGCACAAAACCTTTAACAATTACAGACTATTTTTGACATCCTCTGACAAACCATTTATTGCTAAAATACTGGATGATAACAAAAATTTAATTTTACATGACTGTGCAGTTGCGAAGTTGTCATACTTGGCTTTCTTCTTTCTTCCCACTTAGGTTTGCAACACGTACCCTCCCGAAATAGTGGTGCCTAAAGCTGCTAGTAAAGCAACAGTGATTGGAAGCTCAAGATTCAGAAGCAGAGGGCGGATTCCAGTGCTTTCCTACTTATATGGAGAAAACAATGTTAGTTGTTCATAGTCTGCTGTCTTTGTGGGGGGTAAGGGTTCCCCTTCTTGTCCAGTCCCATTTAAGTGAAGGGAAAGAATGTGATAAAGCTTGGAGCATGTTGGCTACATGTTTAAGAACTGTACTTTTTTAGATTAATTTTTAATTAATTTAACCTAGTAATAATTGGCTTTTACTGGGTTGTTCCAGGTGGCAGAATAAGCCTGTTAGAGCTAAATACTGTAACAGCCAGGGCTGGCCTGCTGCAAAGTTTCTTTTCTGAGATTTTAGTACTATGTCAGTTGATGGGGATTTGGATTTACTTTTTTTCTAAGCCCTTATGTGAACAGATTGTATGTTGAAAGATGTTTGAGCAGACACAGTTTTAGTTATTGGACACAACATGTCTCTTGCTGCGCTTCCCTGCCCTCCCTCAAAACAGTCTTTTAACRCTGTGTAAAAAAGCACAGGCTTTCTAAACTTCCTGCTTGAGGTTTTTTTGATCAGCTTTCAGAAATGCCTTGATGTTGACTTTTTTTTTTTTAAATTTACTGATTGGCTGTACTGAATTTTTAACAAGATGCATGTTAACTTGGCTAAACATTTTTAAGGAGAGGAGGAATGACGGTGAAACAAATCCCCATGAACTCAAAATAAGTAAAAGTTTTGGTTTTATTTCTTTTTTCACTGCAGACCAGAGCACAGATTTGTAACTTTGCTGTCTCAGCAGTGTTTTAGATGCAGATGTTAGCAAAATGCTGCCACAGACAAACTGTTATTACCACAGGAAGCGGGCCTTGACCTGGGCAACTGTAGGGCATGTGCTGGAAACTGTCAGAATTTTCCTAAAAACGCTCTCAGCGCTGCTCTGAGTGTGGAACAATAACAAATGATAAGCAAAGTAACACAAAGGGATGGTCAGGGCAACAGAAACAAAGCAGATAAAGTAAGAGCTGCCAATGTCTGGGGTAGCGCTCATCCAGCAGAGTGTAGTGGGTTGGGGAACACAGGGACAAAGTTGGGAACAGCGTCCCATAGCCTCAGTAATTTCTTAAAAATTCCCAAATTCTAGCTTTGAGAAACAGCGGTATTTCTACTGATCTAGGTGGCAGATTTTAAGTGAGAGAGAGGATAGGACRTGGAAAAAACATCCAGTGCCAGCGCTGAGACGATGTGAGAGCAGAGTTGGTGGTTGTGTGTTGCAGGCTGCCATCTGCCGCTGTAGCCAGCCCCTGTCCGGCTTCAGCGCGCGCTGCCTGGAGGACGAGCAGATGCTACAAGCCATCAGAGAAGCCAACCCAGGGAGTCCCTTCATGTATGTGGTAGACACAAGACCAAAGGTATCTTTTTCATGGGGTTCGTGGCTACTTTTAAAGCTCACCTCTGAAGTGGCAATGTTCTTTCCAGGGATGCTGTCATAATTCTCTGCTGTTTTGTGTTGTGTTAGGTTGGTGTGTGTCACTCCTTGAGCATGAGTTCAGAGGCAAGCCCCAGGTTCTGTGTCTTAACGTGACTAATGCTTGTGTGTACTGAACTGTAATGTTAAATGGTGTTAAGAATGCTTGGGCTCCTGGAGTATTCAAGGATGAGATTGGGGCTAGGAATGGCCTAAAATGACTGGCATTGATCCAAGAATGATCTAAAATGACTTGAGGCTGGTTGAGGCAGTGAACCACATTCCAGGAGAGAGCTGGATTCCTCATACGTTAAATGGGGGAGAAGTCCTAGGAACCAGGTGCACGAGACTGAAATGCTGTTCCGAGTGGAAGGGATAAGTAGGAGAGGCAGTTCCTTTTTTTTTTTTTTTTTTTTTTAATATAAAAATAGCATTAATGTTTTTAGAATGTGCAGCTTGGAAATTAATATGTGTCAGCTCTTCCTGTGTGGTCAATAGTCACTATTTGCAGCTAAATGTTGTTGCTGAGATGTTAATGCAATAGGTTAGTGAAGCAGTTTGCTAAATGAAATCTTTAATGATCGTCCTTTTGAGGGAYGGACAATTTTGAAAGGACTTCAAGCAATTACCTTGCAAGCTTATTGATTGAGAGCACAGGTGTAAGCAAATGGGAACATGGAGATTTGCGGAGTCCGCAATCATTTAAGTACAGAGATTTAAAAATGCTAGGATCATTTTATAAATGTGCTTACTAAAAACTGGCTTCCCTGTTCAGTTTTTGGAAATATTTTATGCATACTCCAGACTTAGTTAAATTTTAATGGGGGCAAGAAAGGAAAAAGTTTGAGGAGGGAGGGAGGAGGAGAGGACAACTTAGGAAATATCTCTTGTTTGTTTATTTTACAATAAGACATTCTCTTAAAGAAGTTTGTTCTTGGTGCATTCTGTGATAAAATGTGTGTTTGTAGAAGTCACTGCCTGTTTCTTTGGGAAGATGTACATCTTGTGTCTGTATCTTCTTCCTTCTTTCTATAGAGGCAAATAATTTATCCTCCTAAATCTATCTATTTAGAGGTTGAGGGACTCTTTCTTTGCAGACATGAAAGATTTCCTGGTAATACTTGAGCTGTTTTGCATAATTCTGCAGAACAACTGGCTTCCCTTCAGCCTTTTCTGCCATTCCAGTTGCATGCTGTGTGCTTTCTGTTCAATGTTTCTGAGTTCCCTCAGGTGACTTTATTGCCTCTGTGCATGTATGTCTGTGAAAAGCTTTGGAATTCTCTTGTTATTTTTGTGCCACCATGTCYGTATGTTACTTAAGCACTTCCTAGCTTAACCTTCATGTGTTTTTACCCGAATCTTTCTGTACAGCTTCACAGTTGGGACAGACTTATCTGACAGCAGTTTTGTGCAGTGGGACAAGGTTTAGAGCACTAAGAAGTGCTCTCTAAGCTCCTAATGGCTTACTGCGTGTGGCTAATTCTGTGGGGGCCATGATTTTAATAAAACTGCTGATATAATGGGGGAGAGGGAGGAAAAAAACATCTGAGGAACAGCTTTATTCAATATATGATCTGGGAGATTTTTTTTTAAGTATTTGAAAAGTGAATTTGCTTATTTCTGTCCCTTTTTTTTGTTTTGTTTCTTTCTTTCTATTTTATCCTACTCTTCTTCCCTTGCATTTGCTAGCTAAATGCCATGGCCAACCGAGCTGCTGGGAAGGGCTATGAGAACGAAGATAACTATGAGAACATTCGCTTTAAATTTATCGGCATAGAAAACATCCATGTGATGAGAAACAGCTTGCAGAAGCTCCTGGAAGGTGGGTTTGGGGCCTCCTTGTGCTTCTTTGGTACCTGACCATGCTCTGCTGAATATAGAAGTCCTCTGTGCACAGCTTGGTAGCGATGGCAACTTGTTAGCAAAATCAATGTGTTATTGAAGTGGTTGAAATTATTAATGTTTGTTTCTCTGCTAGAGATTGTGTCTATTACTGTTCTCAGTATTATAGCTCAAAAATAATAAACAATTACTACATTCGTTACTTGTTTTGGATACATAAAATGTGAAATTCTTGTGTGTGAAATTAAAACCAAAAGGTAGAGAAAGTGTGTTTTATCATAACATATCCCTGTTGGTGTGGGCTGTGTTTCATTTATTTCCAATCTGCTTAGCTGAACTTCTTTTATTTTTTTAATATGTGAGTGGTCAACTCTTTAGCTTAATCTGTGAGATGCTGATTTTAGGGAAAGGTGGGGAGAAGATCAGCAGGATTGTTTTTCTGAGCCAGTGGAGACTGAGAGATGAATCAGGTGCATATTGACACTGAGGTCACTTTGGAGAAATTCCACTAAAGGTGATTGAGTGACTTGGGTCAAACCAGGACACTCTGCTAGCATCTTGCATGAGTTATTAATGTCTTTGTGGTGACAAAACCTGGGGATCAAGGCAGGATGAAAGCTGTAAATCTTTCTCTTTGGACCCTGTGCTTGTTTTTTTGGGAAGTAATGCAAGTGCAGTCATTCAGAATGAGGGTTTAACATCTTGCTAACCACCGTGATGGGCATCCTGCTTCAGTGATGGTGCTAGAGACTGGCTGGGCCAGTAGCACTGTTGGACCTGCAGTGACCTGGGAGAAAAATGAGATTGTTTGTAGGAATGTGAGATTGGTGTGAGCACAAGTGCAAGTCCTTAATTGCTTGTTGCTGGCTGATTTATTTTGTGGAGGAGGAAGAGGCAGAATAAATATTGCCATATTTGTCATCTTGGCTACTAGGTCTTGACAGTGAAAAATCCCTCTCTTTAGCAGGAACTACTGAACTATGTTACTATAAGTATTTCTTATGGTGATTTTCAATATAACGTATCCAATGTTGAGRGCTATTCAGGTGCTGTTATCTGTAATTTAGAACTCCCCTTGCTTCAGATCTTTTTAATAGTGATTGCRTGTTAGTGAATGTTAAATATATGTCTGATGGTGATTTTTTTTATAGTGAAGTAACAAATAGAAACACTCATCAGCTGTGGTTTTGTTGGGAAAACATCACTTGATATGATAATAATGTATGAGTTATGCTTCTTAGATGAGAAATATCTCTTGTCAGATCCTCAAATCCTCTTGCATTTAAGGAGATCTGGATTGTGTGTGTAGATGCACAAACAGTAGTTTGCCCTTTGGATGGGATATTGCTGCTGATATTTAAGGAGTCTGATAATAGTAGCATTTAGGATCGATCAAGTTTTATTGCTGTGAAGAGATAATGGAAAGGTGAGAAAAAGAAATAAATGTTTCCAGGGAATCATGCCTAATTTTTTTTTGTTTGTGTTCTCAGTGTGTGAAGCAAAGTCTCCCTCAATGAGCGACTTCCTCACTGGGCTGGAGAACTCAGGTTGGTTACGGCACATTAAAGCTGTGATGGATGCAGGTGTCTTTCTCGCCAAGGTAAAACTGTACCCCAACCTGCAGGTGAATTAAAGAAAGAAAAATAAACGTACTTGTCTGATAGTGATTGCTCCAAGGCTGTGAAGTCAGTTCCAGAGAGAAGGTGGGAAAAACTTGCTGTTTAGTTTGGCCTTAGCACTGAAATAACAGACCTGCAGTGAGCATGAGAACCCTGAGTGGTTTTCCTGGCTGGTGCTCTGCTAGCAGCTTCCAAGGACCGAGTGAATTACCATGATGGGCTGAAACATTTTCCCCCTCCCTGTATTATAGCAGTTACCTGGCCTTGATTTGAACTCATTTGAAAYGCGTGAAATCACAGAATGTGAATAAGTAACCTTTGTAGATGCCCTTGTACCCTGCAGCATAATTAGTCATGCAAGAAACTTGCATACTCAATATTCTTGTTAGTTACTGAAGTGCTGTGATTTAAGCAACAGATTATTTAGTGTGTTTTTATTACTATTTTTTTCCAGGAACCACTAGCTTTGATTGTTCAATGCAGTCCTCTTTTTTTCCAGCTTTAGGAAGAGTAGGACTTTGCTACTGGCCAGGCAAAAGGATAAAACACAATAGAGCTCCCAGTTTCCCAGTTTTTTAGTAACAGTAAGGGGAATGTAGTCAACAAGTACGAAGATACGGCACTTGCTACCTTCCAAGGTAGTGAGCAAGAAGCTCTTTTGTTTCTCCTCTTCCACCAGTACAAAGGGAGGAAGGTGATCAATTTGGGAGGAAGTTGAGATGAGCTCTGCTAAATTTTCGTGGAAGTTTCCACTCCCTGAGCACCAAGTTGTTATTTTTTATTCATCCACTAAATGTTTCTTCAGAAAAAGGACTGAGAATTCCTGGCATCTCAGAAGACTGAGTGGTTTGAGATCAGAAGATCTTTGTTTCTTGATGGTCTATGGTGCTGACAAGGCGTGCTACAGCACTTCATTCCAGTTGGGGTTTCCTATGGGTTGATGGCTATATGCCCAGAAATGAGGCATTTCCATGGTCCACATGAGAAGTGAYAAATTTTCCCCTTGGGTTTTAGGGAAGTCTGGTAAATGCAGATGAGGGGAGAGCATTTAATTACAGTAAGCAAGCTTGCAAGCTGCTGATCTGTTCTGTCTGGTCTCTCCTTTGCAGGCTGTGAAAGATGAAAAGGCGAGTGTGTTAGTGCACTGCTCCGACGGGTGGGATCGCACAGCTCAGGTCTGCTCCTTGGCCAGCCTCCTTTTAGACCCGTTCTATAGGACTTTTAAAGGCTTTATGGTAAGAACATGAGTGTTAAAATATCAAAAAGTGCTTTCTGCATTTGGAATGTAAACAAGCCCTAATTACATGTTTTAGGCCATTTCCTGGAACAAAGAGTAGGTGACCTATATAAAAACAGCTTTGATTCCGTGAACAAGCTTTAATTGCTCTGAACAGCATGAGCACAAAACGGCAGCGGTGGATTTACAATTCCCAGATCTTTATATTCTTTAATGTCCAAAGACAACCAAGACATTTCTGCACGACACGAGTGAACAAAAGATACTACTCTGACAGCAACCCATAAAAAAGAGGGGAAAGAAGCTCTTCTCTTAAGAGAAGCAAATGGTCTTGTAACAGCTAGGGTTTAAATTGGGGGAGAACTCATTCATGTACACAGAGCAAATGTAAAACCTGTGTATCACCCAAAGTGTGTATCACTGAAGACCTGTTTCAAATACTTTGCACAGGAGCTTGCCTGTTTGCTTCTAATACAGGCTTCTTTTATATGAAATCATCACTTCATATAGTGAAATGTTACCATTCATCTCATTGTGTTAAACAAAGTTCCTTAAAAAAATTGAGATGGGAATAATGCAGAGTTTCCCTCCCCAGATATGTGAATGTGTTTTACACTGCTGGAACTGTTACCTTGCATTACATGCTCGGTTTTGTTGTTATTTTTTTTTCTGGATATTGCTGCCTTTTAACAGTTAAAATAATACCAGAATATAAAACATTAACCTGGGTTTCTGAAGTCCTTGGAACAATTTTGAGAGCTGTGCAACATGATTTTCGTGAGGGTCGGGAACTGTAACTTAGACACTGGAACAGACAAGTGCTTGTTGTCTTTKCACATAGTGGGTCTGCACAGATCCTGTGGCTGTGGTTACACCTAGATGAATGCCACAAGAACCCCCAAGAATATGAAAATTTGAATAAGCAGTCTGACCYGATTATCAAACATATATTGTGTTTTTTCTCAAGGTCTTGAAGTCCTTTTGGGTCTTCAAGCCTCTAGATGATGATATCAGGGATTAATCTTTAATAGCAATTTATGGGTTAGTTATTTACGTTAATATTTTCATCGACTTCTGTGAATGTGTTCCTAACAGCAGGCAGCCTTGGTAGTGAGCKCTATTTAGTATTTAACAATAAAAGCTTTGTTTTACTCTTGCTTATTAAATTAATATCACTTTATTTCACTCTCTGTTTTGAAACTGAAGGTCTTAATAGAAAAGGAGTGGATTGCCATGGGTCACAAGTTCTCACACAGGTAAGGGCATTTAATCTTGGGTGTAATGACTTGGGGGAGGCTTGACAGTGAAGGTAATGTAGTGCTTTCAGGTTCATTCACTCCCATTAATAATTTAAATGACAACAGAAYAAAGAGGAGATGGGTCTGCAAATCATTTCTCAGATATTGTGGACTTTAATTTGGAAACTGCAGGAGTTGCTGACATAAAGCAGTATTTGCTGGCTTGGTTTGCCAGGTTGCTTTTTTTCAGGGTGTTCTTTTTATTATTGCTTTGCAGTATTGTTGTCTTGAACAGATTATTTTAATTTTAAATCTGTTTTCTTACCTGTAAAATCTTATGTATATTGTATGTGTAGTGTTAATATTTTGGCAATACTTGTAAATACTTCTACAGTGATTTTTTTTTTTTCTGGAAGAAAATTGCAGTTGGTATTTTTCAACCAAGTTCAGAATATAAGTTCAGATTGGTCTAATATGAAGAACAACTTGACCTGCATTCTTTAGGCAAGTTAAAAATACTATGCCCTCGACAGGCAGAAGTATTTTGGTTTGTTGTGTTTTTGTTTTAGTTAATTACCATATAGAAACTAGAAATTAACATGCCTAARCCAGTACTAGGAGGGAGTGGACCAGTCTGTTCAGTGATATGAGCTTATTAAAACTTGAGAATCTTGACTCTTTGTGAAATTTAGTCCTCTTTTTATTAATGAAACAAAACTATTTCCTTATAGTGTGTTTAAGAAAAATGATCAGTATGCGTGACCTTACACTTATGCTTTAGAAGAAGTAGTCTGAAGATAAACTCCTCTGTAAACATTAGCAGACCAAATAATGTTGCGTGGTCACTGTTTTTGCTTTTGTGGGAAGTGTTTTTTTGCTTTTACTGCCTTTCTAAGAATAGGGAATAACTTCACCTATTTTCCACTTTAAAGGATTCTTTGTGTTGCAAAGCATCCTCGCAAACAGGAGAACTTGGCAAGGTGTGCCAGAAGTACCATAGAGACAATTTCACCACTGTCTGAGAAATGAATTTTTGTTCCAGTGGTTGGAGAAGATCATTGCTCTCCTAGTTGCAGCCTGTGCATTGTAGTGCTTGGGGAGATTAATCTTTCTTGATGCTGCTTCTTCAGATAGAGCAGCTGGAATGACAGACCAGGAGTTGATATTTGATTAGTTAGATCTCTGCAACAAGGAGCCTTACTTCATCTTTGCACTTAAGTTGGGGGAATCAAGTTAAAAAAAATTTGGAGCAGTATGTTTTACAAAACTACATAAAGCCCACTCTCCCTTCTGCAGGTTTCCAGGTTATTCTAGTTATTTTCTGTTTCTTGGTAGATTATAAAGAACACTATACCTGTAGCAGAATTATTCATTTTGTAACTAGATGTAAAGCTGGAAAGTTCTTTGCTTTTGGTTATTTTGGGCTCCTCCTTCATCCCCTGTGATTGCCTACATTTGCCTAGTTGCATTCAGCCATGCCCAGTTGCCAGAATCTCGTTCTTGGCACCACATGGGCAAGATGAGGTTATTTTGGCTGTCGCTGCTCACTGTGGTTGTGCCTACATGAGGAAGTGTTATCACCATCCATGAAGATCAGAGTGGACCCTGGGCAAGCTGCAGTGTACGGTGCTGTTTTTGCATCTCTGCCCCCAYTGCTAGGGCATCTCCAGTCTTCAGCTTCTGTTTTGATGAAAGAAGTGGATAATTTGGGTTTATATTAATCCTCCAATGCAAAATATGAGGCATAATAACACCTAACCCCTGTAGCTCTGCAGAGTGATTTCTTAAGCTGGCAGTGAAGTAAACCATCCAAGCTGTTTAGCAGCTAGAGAAATTTTGTTGTAGGAGATGCAGGATTTAACTTTGGTTTGTTTGTTTCTCCCCAGGTGTGGCCATTTGGATGGTGACCCAAAAGAGATATCTCCTGTCTTCACTCAATTCACTGAGTGTGTCTGGCAGCTCATGCAGCAGTTTCCGTGTGCGTTTGAGTTTAACGAGCGTTTCCTGCTTGAAATCCATGACCATGTCTACTCCTGCCAGTTTGGCAACTTCCTTGGGACCTGTCACAAGGAGCGTGAAGATCTGAAGTGAGTTGGCAGTTTACRGAGCCAGCAGTCTAGAAATCCCTTCAAATGTCAAAAAACAAAAGGCTGTTTTTAATGTAACTGTAGACTGGCTAAGGGGAATATGCTGTTGATAGCTGCCTACATTCTGCAGTGTGAAAAACTTAAAGATGAACTATATCCCTCAAAGGCAGATCTTTTAATTTGGTCTGTTGTAATAACTTGCACACGTCACCCTTGAACTAGATATTGTCCTTTCTAAATGATCATATGTTGCCTGCCAATATATTTTGTGTGTATGAAATTAATTAAATKTGTGTGGAAATAACTTTTAGTTGCCTTAGTCTAGTTCTGCGCAGAATAGAATTAACTGACTTACTGAGATTTTAATTTTTAGTAATTGAATCTTCTTTGTACTTGACAGAATCTTTGAGAAGACCCACTCTCTGTGGCCTTTCCTCTTACAGAAGAAGCAGGACTTCAGAAATCCTTTGTACAGAGGATTTACAGCTTATAAAGACCTTCAACCAAACACGTTACCTTTCAGTTTCCAGTAAGTCACTTAGAGGGAGGGAAGAACAGGGACCTTTTTTCACTGTAATGGAGTGGGGTAACTCAGGTTTAGTGAGATGCTTTTTTCTAACCTATTAGAGCAGCTCACTTCACCTTTTCCCTCCTTTCCTCCTACATTAACTAGAGGAGTAGAGCACAGGTAGCTGCAAAGTGCAAATACTGTAATTTAACCTATACTAAGTTTTTAGCATGGGCGGGGGAGGAAACGAGCAAAATAGGGACTGTATCTAAGCAGATTCCTCCCTCCACAATTCTTGCTCTCACAAAGGCAGAGGAAGATAAGCAGTTTTTTGAAGGTACTGGCTCCTTTTTACCATTTAATAAGTGTGTCTAATAAATGTTATAAAAATTTAATAAATGAATTTTAGTCTCTGATCACACCCAGGCTTATGCAGTGGGGACGGAGAAGGGATTTCGTGTGTATTTGTGCATTTTTTTTTGTCCATAGCGCTCCAGCTGGAGCGGCCGGTTTTGCTTTGTGCTTCTCACTCGCTCCTGTTCCCTGCCCATGGAAATGTGTTTGTAAGCTCTGCATGTGGTTACTGCAAGGCAAAGTATTTTAATAAAAGGAGGAAGGCAGTGCAAACCAGACTTGAAGGTGAACAGCCCAAGCCTCCAGTGAGTCTGCTATAGAGCAAAGTGCAGCTTCCTTTTGTTTTAATACCTCTCTCCAGACTATGCAGATCATAGGGGCACAGCATTCAAATCCTCAGAACTACTTTGAAGCTTTCTGAAAATTGGTTCTTCAGATTGAGTTTTATTATACAGAGCTGTGGCGTCTTTTTTTTTCTAAATCTGTTTGCGATCTGAATTGGTTGAAAATCCTTTTTCTTAGACAATATCTAGTTACTGTTTGTTATGACCACCTGTGTACAAATGGCCTTGCAATTTTCTCTTCTTACCTTGTTTTTGAGGTTTTGGTGTGGGATGTATAATCGTTTTGACAAAGGAATGCATCCAAAACAGTGCGTGTTGGATCATCTCCTAAACTGCATGAGCCAGAAGACAAAACTAGAGGACAACGCATCTGAATTGGAAAATGTGAGTCCTGAATGCTGTTAATAATCAAAATTATATAATAGTTATGGCAAATATGACTGGAGTTAAAACAAGAAAATAGGATGCTAATTGTGCTATATCCACGGTTTGTCATAAACGGCTGTTTCGATATGCTGCACAGATCTGGGCAAAGAAAATGAAAATACAAAAATATTTTTGTTCTTGGCTAGCCCGCATATTTTTCTTTTCGTTTACAAGACACTTGAAAAATTGATGATGATCCAGGTATTAAAACAGTGGAATTGCTTCACTGGACTTTCATATAAAGGCCACATATAACTGGTTGATGTAGACCAAACTGCCCTGCAAAGCTGGCTGTCTTGGATCCAGCTCAAGTGCTTTGTTAGGGCAACACAGGTCAAGTTTGCACTTTGAATACTATGGACTGCAGTGCTGGAGTCCAGAGATGTTAATGGCATCAGAATAGCTAATTTCTCCCCTTCAACCCACAATAACGAAGTAAACAGCAATGCACTTTACAGGAGTTGATTCTAGTCAGATTGCCCAGAGCTCATACGATCTGCCCAGAGTGTATTGATCTGCACATGTTGCGTTGTCATCTCAATTAATGCTGAAGGAGGTTGCTGTAACTAACAGTTGTTTGTTACACCTTTCTAACATTTGGGAATTTCAGCTTTCCTTAATTTTTAAATGTCTTTCTGTGTAGAAGCTTCCCTTCCTCGATGGCCCTTTACTCCCCGAAGCCTGTTCCTTACCTAAAATGGGAAGTGCTTCTTCAAAAACACCGATGCTCAACACTCCCCAGGATTATGATGGGGACCCACCTTCCGTGCTGACGAACGGTGCTGCAGAGGGGGATAGAGACGTTATGTCAGACACGGACCAAGAGAACAAAGGGAACCTCTCTAAGCACCAGCACCTCTACGATCTAGAAGCCCCTGCTGGTGTTTTGGACTCTGAAGCTACGGATGGGAAGCCTGAGCACCATTGATGAGCTCTGAGGACTGTGTTGAACGATTCATACACTCATGTGGTGAGGCCTACGGGATCTGTGCCCCAGCGAGGGGTGTCGCACACGGAACATTTCCAGCTCAGTGTCAGTACGTTGGCAGGGGCTGTTCTCCCGCCTCGGAGAACACGTTTTGCGTTCGGTTTGTTTTGCATTACTGCCGTTGCAATGATGAGTTGCAGTACAGAGCTGCCCAGAAGGCTGGGCTTGCCTTAGAGCCTAGACCTCACCTTAGAGCTCAAATGTGGTGTTTAAGGTTGTAACTGTCTGCCAGGACTGTTTGAGGCAAAAAAGGCATCGTGGCCAATCAACACGGATGGAGAGTTAGGAGTTTGATGGTATTTCTAAGCTGAGTAGGAAGACTGCAACCCCTTTCTTTTTAGTAATGGTGAAAGTTGCAAATGCCATTTTAATTTGTTTTGAAACGATAAAAAGTCCTTTTTTTAATCTGAGAATGAATTTCTGCATGAACCCTCACCTTGTGGCAGAACAGATTCGTTTTTTTCCTATGCATCTCAGTTAAAAACAACCTCCCCCGTGCCTTTTCCTGAGACCATCTCCATGTCTAGCCATGCAGTGTAGTATTTTTATTATGGTAGTGTGTTGTGTAGTATTTGSTCTTCTTTCTAGTCAGTATTTTTAAACAGAGTTTTATATCTGCTGCCAATTTCCCCAGGCCGCTCCCCTGAGTTTAATAGCTTCTTTCTAAGACGAGCTTTCAAAGAATGAGCTTTTATGGACTTTACTTACTGATCTTGAGAGTGCAGCAAGCCACAAAGACAGCCTATAGCACATCTATTTCTCATACAGGAGGATTAGAAATGAGCAAGTATAGGAGGGCTTAATATGAATTTATATAGATTTTCTTTTTGCTCTTGTTTTATGATCTTGGCTAAATGAAACAAGAGGATATATTTTTTTTTGTTGTTGCTATTCTTCTAAGCTGGAATTAATGTGGGTTCCTCAAATCCATCAGTGAGGCAATAACTGTGAGTGAAGTTATTGACCTCTGAAATGTAGGCTAGAAGGATTGCTTCACATCACATCTTGAGTGGCAACAGTGAATGTTTTCTTGGGTGTTAAAACCACAGAGATTTTGTCCATACTCTCAAGAGTTGTGGAAATGGGCAAGATTTCTTATGGCAGCAAACTTTGTGATTTTGTGGAACAGGTGACAAAAAGTAAAGTGGGGTGTGACCTATTATKGGAAAAAAAAAAATGACTTTTTAGCTTATGGATCTGGCTCCATCTTAGACTCGCCTCAGTGGCTGTGATGCTGCTGGAGATTAAAAGGCTTAGTATTGTAAAACAATACTGTTATATACTTACTTAATATAAAACAGCCAGGTYAGTTTGTGTTCAAGGTGACACCTGGATGACTATTTTTGTTCATCRTGGGTGAGAAGATATCTTCTATTGAGCATATCAAAAGACCCAATTAAAAGGAGCAATGCAAGGGAACATGCAATTTCTTCTATGCCCGGGACAGCAGTAAGAAACAAACCTTTTTAGCACTGTAGGTTTTAAAATCTGCAAGTAATATTTAAGTCAGTTTAAAAAAAATAGTAATTTCCAAGATAAGAGTGAGAGACCTGCAGGGAGCAATTACTTCAAAGCTTAGCACATAAAATATTGAACCAGTTATGCTTAAAGAAAAGATATTGAGGCTTGTATGGATGCGTATCAAAAACMATGTATAGACAGATGTGTGTTCTATTTTGAGGACTGTGCTGAGGGGATTGCACCCTAACCAAATGGCACCAAATACACAAAAATTCTGCTGTAGGTTTCCAATGAAAAGCGTTGGGCAGATTCTTGCCTCTTGTAGTTTATAAGTTCAATTTCACGTACCCAAAGTTGGCTCTTTTGAGCCCTTTTCAGATAGACTGGTAGCTTAACCCTGTCTTTCCATTCCAGCTGGTAGAAGAGATTTAGTGGGTTGTATATATGGCTTCTTAATTAGGGAGCCCCAACATGGGAAATGAAGCCAGTATAGGCACTTTTTCRGACCAGTTATTTTAAGTCATCATTCTGTTACGTGATCTCTATTGAGAATTAGAGATAACAGWGTTACAAACAATTTTGACTGACTACTGAAGGATTTAGACCTACTGTTTGTTAATCTTTGTATAAGAATATTTTGAAAAATGTTTCTATAAGTGTTTACACATTGCCTTGCCTTTTGAATTATCGTAGATTACCTAGGAAAAAGTGTAGTGATCTTTGCTTATTTCTAAAGGAACATGACACTGACATCTCCTTAAATCTTTTATTCTTGACTGCGCTACTTTCCTTGYGTACAGCCCTGAAAAGATTACTTTCTACACTGAAAATATTTATGAGCTTTTAGTAATCTTGCTGCTTTTGACTTCAGTAACAAAACAATGTATGACTCTGTACTTTGAAATGTAAAACCTAGCCAAAAAAAAAAGGGGGGAACAATCTGTTGTTTTAAACCTCTTGGATACAATATATACAAGCTTAGTTGAAGTCTACAGCATTTGAAGTTGCTCGTGCTGGTGCTGTAGATTTAGGCTGGAAAAAAATCCAGTTTTCCTGGAATGCCAGGAAATTATTTGCTTGAAAACCATTTAGTTAGGATGTTTTTAGCTTGGAATATTTTTTTTTTTTTTTTTGCACTTCAACACCAAAAATGAGAAGCTGTTCAATGCATGCAGCACATGCTCAGGGCCCTGCTCAGCTGGGACTGGCTTCTGCTGCAGCTTCGAGGCTCCTGCTGAGAGCTCCTTGGCGAGCGCCCTGCCTGCTGATAGTGGTGAGTGACTCAACCAAATCATCCCTAAAAAAGCATTCAAAGAAGTACAAAACCTGTTCTATAGGTACTGTGTCATAGAAGCACCGTGTGGAGAGAAGCTCCTCTGCCCTGTTCCTGGCTGCACGTGGGTGCGTTGCTGCACTGTGAGTTCTCCTTCACGTGGAGCCGCAAGCTGAGCAGTGCCACTTGCTGCCTTGTGTGTGGATTCCCAGAGCACGGAGATGGGAGAGGGATCCTGTTTGCTGGGCCTGGGTGCTATTTATGGGAAACTCTGCCATTTCTGGAAGACTTCTGGCTTTCGGCGCGATACCCTGGTGGCCTYGTGCCTGGATGTTGTCTCTTTCGCTTGCTCCAAATAGGTACAGCCTTGCAGTGGGAAGTACCTAAAATAGCTTGTGTTAAAGCTACTCCTTGGGAGTAGAAGAGGGACTTGCATAGCTTTATTTCTCAGTAAAARATGTCTTAATGTGAATTTCCTAATGCTGGATTCTTTATTTATATTCTGTTTTGCAGTTGTCAGTGCTAGACAAAATCAAACCAGTGCTTTATGGAAGAAAAGGGACTATTTGGTTTATTGTAGCTGCTGTAGATCTCAGCCTTCTCTTATGGTAGAAGAAAGGCTGTTAAAAGCATATATATGTCCTCTTAGCTGCATTCTGCTCCTGATCTTAGTAAATGCCTTTTATTTAAGCACTTAGAAGAGACACTCCCCTGCTATGCTGGTGCTTGCTGGTAGCTGAAGCCACCTTGAATAAGATGAAGAGAAGATTTGCTCGTAGGCGGCTGGGAAGCCCRAGTTTGCTGATGTCTGGAGCCTGGTGAGATTGGCTGGGAGCTGAAGYGCTTTGCGGGAGCCTTGAGGGCGCCCTGCTTGGGCCGCGGGGGAAATGGCCCAGTTGGGAAGTGCCCCGTGTCAGCCCTTTCCATTGGGTTTAGAGATCGTGGGCCCTGAAGTAGCCTCCTAGGAAATACTTTTGCATTTTGCACAGATGAACCTAATGCACGCGTGGAAATCGTACACAAGAGCGTTTGTGCTAGATGTAGTGTCAGCTCACATCGGGCAGATCTGGGCTCTGGGTAGCTTTAGTGCCTGGCAGTTGCACCTCAAAAGGAACAATTTCTTGGCACTATTCAGTGCTGCACATGCACAAGTGATCAAAAGAACTCAAAATGTAGCTATTTCCCTTTTTTATCCACCTTTGCACCCTTTGCATTGGGTGCTGGGATCATTTTTTGTACGGACCGAAGGCAGCGCTTGGCAGCCAAGGCGATTCCTTGTTTACATCCATCCCTGTTGCACATGGGCACATCCAGTGCCTCGGTTCTGCTGGGGGAAAGGTTTCTCCTGAACACCATAGTTCTGTTCTAATTAACGCACAGCACCTCATATAGGTGAGGAGCAGCCCAAAGCAGGTGATGTTGCAGCCCCTGCTCTCCTGGCTGCCTCGTGCTGAGGGGAGCCAGGTCGGTGCCACGTGCTGTCCTTTGTGAGGGTAAGTATTAAAACACACAGTGCTGCTTCCCTCCAACATCTTTGACCTGCAAAACCAGTGCAGAAAAGAGGGCAGGTTAAGTGCTTTTCCCATATCTTTTCTTTTGACGTTAATCGGTGTGTATGGCCCCTGTGCATCTGTGTTTGGTGTAGCAGCGTACTACTAGAGTAACTTGTAGCACTGGCTCTAGGTGTGTGTAACTGAGCACAGTTCTCTACCTTTCCTCCTCACCCGCAAGGTTACCTGAAGTTCTGTGGTATTCTGCTTAGTCTGACGTGTGTTTTGCTGCTCTGTAAGTGGGTTGCTGGTTTTGTCCTTAGTGTAATTGTTGAGGGGCGGTTGTATAGAATCGTGTGCGATTAAATCCTATACGTGCTGCAACGGCTGTTTACGTATGATTCATTTTAGTTAATGCACTGCTTTAAAAAGAAGTACCACCGTGTTTGAAGGAACACTGTGTCCTTTTACTCTAAAYGTATTTGTCTTATGATGTTTCATTTGTACGACAGTTTATTTTTATTTCCTATGAAAAAAATAAATACCTTTTTAAAGTAACGGGTGAGTCTGTCTCTTAAATTTCCCCTCAAAGCAGGAGAGCAGTGTGTGGTCACCCGGCCCTCCTCGATGCTGCCCTGTTGTGCTGTGCATCTCAGAAGTGTGTGTTTCTTTCCTATGTCTTAAGGCCAAAAATGGACCTGACAGGTGGGTATTCTTAATCTTCAGATGTTTCCAAGTCCTTTTCCTGTTTATAAATAATGTTGCCGGTGCAATTCATTTACCTAAATTAGACTTTCCCTGCATTTAATTGTATTATTTGCATTAGTACTGAGTGGAAATGAGAAAGCTTTAATTTACATTTTTCAGGGAAGCTTAAGGTGTTTTTGACAGCCTCTTTGCTGGAGTGATTGAAGTTTCCCTCTCTGTCGCGGCTAAATCAGCGTGGAGAGGTCAGGTTTCCTTCAGACACATTGGAGGGTGAATGCTAAAGCCTCCTGTTTTTGACAGCTGCTGGTTGGTGTTAGCTCCCAAACATACCTTCCACTAAGTGAAAATACTGACCAGTGAAGCTGGTGGGAGCTGCGTGCAGCAGCTCACTTCTCACTTTAAAGTCACATCTGCTGTTCTAAATGGAGATGAAAAGGAACAGTGACGCTTAGTACTTCTTTTGTTTCTGAAAATATTACTTTATTTAAAAATTGAATCATAAACTGAAGATTTGAGYATAACTTCTAATGCAGTTTCCAAATTCAGGTGTTTTAACTTAGGTTCCTGTTTGGATGTGCAGTGATTGTGGACAAAACGTAGAGTTCTGTTACAAATGATAAAAATTCTGTAGGGTTAAATTAGACCTTTTCCCATATCTCGGTTTAGTGAAATGCTAAATGATGTTTTCCTTTTATCTCAAAACAAAACAAACAAAAAAACCTTGGAGCCTATTCATCTSTGGGAGAGAGCAAAGGAGCAAGCATGAGTGGGAATTCCTAAAATATTTATTGAAAAAACACACACACTTGCAAGAACATCATTGCTAACTGCAGTCATGTCTACGGTTCCCTCTGCAGATCTGTTCAATTAGAGGGTGCTGCTCTTGKGTACTTGCTTTACAGGCCACTTCTGCAGACATGGAACAGGGATGAGGACCAGGACTAAGGGTGTCCTTTCCAAAATTTGGGTGTTTTGCAAGCACCCTGGGGCTTTTGTACAGCCTCTGAGGACACTGTCCCCCTCACTGGCAAGGATGTTTAGAGAGAACTAGCACAGAGAGCTGCTGTTTGCAGAACTTCTTATCTGACAAAAGGGAAATTGTGGAGAGAATAAGATAAAGTTGGTGA